GATTTTATGGCTAATAAAACCCTTAAAGAGGCCCTAGCCCAATACCATTCGAAACCCTCTTTCGAATTGGGCTAATCAAGCTATTTTAATGTTATTAACAAACATTAATGATCCAAATCACTTAGGTGTGTGACCCTGTAGGTTTATATATTATTGGCAGTGGGCTAGAAATTAATTCGAGCCTCACAAATCATAAGCGGTCTCTAGCAAGACATTATGATTATCCAAAATATATAAATGTCAATTAAATCTGACATAACCTTTTAATGATTAATTTGTGCTAATAATTCTCTTTTGTCAAATGATACCTTAATTGAGACAAGGTTAGGTCATGTCATCCTTGTTATTCTCAATTAATATTTCTTGATTACCATGTAAGATTAATCTTGATCAAATGACACCTCATTTGTGCATGGCCATGCTAATTAATCTTACTTGTCAAGGGGCCCAATAGATATCTTTCTCTCGATATACAAGAGTGACAAAAACTATCTTGATAATTCACATACTACTACATGGTTCATAATATGTACAATCACCACCTTTATAGTTACCCAATTAAAGATAACATTTAATGGTGTTAATACATATTAATTCTCATGCAAGTAACCATGATTATCTCAAGTATAAGAATATAGCACCTCATCATTATTGAGGACAACGCTGATGACATATAACCTAGCAGTGTCCTCAAGTTGGGTCTATCCAATGAACTTGTTCCCTAACAAGCATCTATGTTATTAACTTGTTATCTCTATACCCATGACTAGTGGAATATAGCCATCAGTTAATCCACATACTGGTCTATTAATTATTAATGTCCCAAATTAATAATATTAGACCGGGGACAATTAGAATATTATGTTTATTTTAAAGTGTAGCATTCCACAATTAAGTCACATACTTAATTAGCCACTAAACAGAATATTCAGGGACTAAATATTAATAAAGAAAGCTCACAATAATAATTAACATAAATGAGTTTGTGACTTTATTAATTAATGAGCATTAAATATTTATTGATAAATCATAAACTATGATTGTCCTAGGGCATATTTCCAACAATTCTATTGCTAAATGTCCCTAAAAGAATCCTGAGGAAAAGAATAATGCTACTTCTAAGCCTACTGGGGAAAAGCACAAAGCTGAGGTATCTAAGTCTACTTCTCTGCCTACTAGTAAATGGGTGGAAAAGAATAAAGCAGGGGAAGGTCAACAATCCAAGCAAGTGAGATTCACAACAGAAGAGAAGGGAAAGAGCATTGTTAATGCTTCTCACATTACAAACAATAATAAAGCCCTGATTATCACTGAACAACCATCCTCTTTATCTAAGCAAGCTGAGCCCGTTTGTGTTGGAGATGATGGTAGTTATGGAGGAACACAGTAAGTCTTTAATCACCATTGATCAGCCCTCATGCTCGAAGCACAATGAAATGCAGGTTGTTACTTCAGAGGAGGAATCTGACACGGATACTGAGGAGGTTTCCCATGAACAGCCACCTGAAAAAAAAAAGACACAAGAAAATTTGAATACTCATAAGGTTACTCCTGAAGATGAATCAAGGGCTGAAGTAAGGGATCTTCTTCAAAGGCCAAATAAGATGATCAGGAATGTTGACAAAGGACACAAAGTTTAAGGATGACATTTACATTAAACATTTGAAGCAACAAACGGATTTTGATGCAGAACTAATTGAGAAAGTCTACTCATCTGATGGGGAGACTAAAAAGGATATGCAGTCACTTCAGAACTCGGAGAACTCCTAGCACCATATCTCGGAGGTAGTCAATGTTATGGCCAAGCATTTGGAGAGGGTGGAATCAGATGCTTCTCATTCTGTAGTAGCAATTGAGTCTGATTTGAACAGAGTGCCAGTGAATCAAATTATACCAGAGGAAGAAGAATTTATCACTGCAAAGAGGAAAAGAGTCAAGAGGAAGGAGGTACCTGAAGCTACCCCGAGACTTACTAGAAATGCTGCAAAAAAGAAAGATGAGTTAGTAGTGTCAGTAACTGATAATAGCTTCAGTCAACTGGCTTCTCAAGATGTCTCTTCCATTGATCCATGAATTGTCTGACATGGAATGTTAGAGGTTTGGACTCTGCAAATGCTAGGTTAACTTCTTTACTTATACAGTGGCAGATCCATATTCTTGCTATTATTGAGCCCATTGTTAGTAGTTCCAGAGTACATTTTTTTCAGAAAAAATTTGGCTTTCCCAGTGTTACTTTTTCTTGCACAAATAAAACTTGGGTCTTTTGGGACCCTGCAAAAGTTACTATTTCAGACTTAAATTAGCATGAGCAATTTGTTCATATGAAGGCGAAAAGAGGGAATTTTGATAGCTGGTTCACTGTAGTCTATGGAAAGCATAATCATTTAGGTAGAAGGGACCTATGGAATTCTTTAACTGCCCTCTCTAGTACAATAAAAGATCCTTGGTTGGTTGGAGGGGACTTTAATGCCATTACAACACATAGTGAACACATGGGGAGAGCTTTGCCTAATTCGAGTAGTATCATTGATTTTTTAGATTTTATTGTAGCCTACATCTTTATTCAGCCTTCTTATTTGGGTCCTCAGTATACTTGGTCAAGTGTGAGGTCAAATGGATGGGTTTGGAGAAGGTTGGACAAACATTTGCTAAATTCTCATTGGAGTGACTATTTCAAAAGAATTCAGGTGGATGTTATGAAAAAAACTCCATCTGATCATTGCCCTATTTTAATCAGATGCTCTACAGAGGACCATTCTAGCCCTAGAGCTTTTAGATTTCAAAACATGTGGGTCAGCCATCCTACATTTTTTGAAGTTGTCAAAAAGAGCTGGAACTCTAACTGCAGGGGAGGGGGAATGAAGGCTTAACAAGGCTTACAAGTTAAAGTGTCTTAAAACAGCTCTTAAAACCTGGAATATGAATACTTTTGGATACATAATTCAGGACATCAAAACTTGTAAAGAGGAGGTAACTAAGGCTGAACAATCTTTTGCAGTATGTTCAAGTGAAGAAAAATAAAGAAAACACATCTAAAGTGGTTGAAAGATGGAGATGCAAATTCTAAGTTCTTTCACTCGTATGTAAAGGTTAGACACAGAAAGCAATTTATTACTGAAATAATTGATGGTAGGGGTCAAGTGTGTGCTTCTCAAAAGAATATAAGGGAAGCTGCCATATCCTTTTCAAAAGGATATAGGGGTCAAGTGTGTCCTCAAAATAATTGATGGTAGGGGTCAAGTGTGTCCTCAAAATAATTGATGGTAGGGGTCAAGTGTATGCAGTAGAGCCCAACATTGATGCTGAGGAGGTCCTGCAATATATTCCAAACTTGGTTAATGAAGAAGATAACTATATGCTCATGCAGTTGCCACAAGAGGATGAAATTAAAAGGCAATATGGGATCTGAACCAAAATAGTGATCCTGGGCCTGATGGATTTAATGAGAAATTTTACAAAAAATGTTGGCATATAATAGGGGCTGATCTTATGAGGGCTGTGTAAGATTTTTTCCTAGTGCTGCCTATCCCTCAAGGGGTTTCTGGCACTCTCGTGGTTCTTATCCCTAAAATAGAAAACCCCTCCACTTTTGGTGACTTTAGGCCTATTTGTCTTTCTAATTTTATCAGTACAGTTTGTACTAAGGTTCTTACTGATAGGCTATCAAAGATACTGCCTAAGATTATTTCCCCAGAGCAAATTGGTTTTATGCAAGGAAAAGATATTGCAGACCATGTGCTGATTGCCCAAGAAATGATTCACTCCCTGGAGAAGAAGGTTAGAGGATCAAATGTCATTGTTAAACTGGATATGACCAAGGCATTTGATAAATTGTCCTGGAAATTTATTGAGGCTGTTTTATAGAGATTTGGTTTTTCAAATAGCTTTATTCATGTCATTTTGAAAAGGTAAAATGGGACAATGATAGCGGGATGAAGGGAGTATTATATTATAACAATATTAATATTATAATAATAAAGTATATTATTATTATTATAAGAATAATAACATAATAATATAATAATAACATTATTATTATTATATAATAATATTAATAATATTACTACTGGTATATTATTATATTATTATAATTTTATTTTTAATATTTTGTATTATTATTATTATAATATAATAATAATATTTATATTAATAACATTATTATTATTATTATTATTCTTATTATTATAATATTAATATATTATTATTAATATTATTAACAATAATTATAATATAATAATTATAATGGTAATAATTATAATTAATATAATAATAAAAGTGATAAATCATGTTTGGATTTTTTGATCTGATCTGATCTAAATGTTTCTGATCTACTCTGATTTAATCTGAAACTTTCTGATCTGATCTGAATGCTTCTGATCTGATCTGAATCTTTCAATATTTCTGATCTGATTCGAATAAAATAAGAAGAATAAGTAATTCTTATTATTATAATATTAATATATTATTATTAATATTATTAACAATAATTATAATATAATAATTATAATGGTAGTAATTATAATTAATATAATAATAAAAGTGATAAATCATGTTTGGATTTTTTTGATCTGATCTGATCTAAATGTTTATGATCTACTCTGATCTAATCTGAAACTTTCTGATCTGATCTGAATGCTTCTAATCTGATCTGAATCTTTCAATATTTCTGATCTGATCTAATCCGAATAAAATAAGAAGAATAAGTAATACTCCTTAATAAGAGAACAACCTCCAAATAGGAGAGTAGCACTAGAGAAGGGATAAAGCTCTGTTTGCAATCACTTGTGCTTAAATAAAAGCACTTTTTGGGAAAAAGTGATTAGTAATAAAAGTTGGTAGTGTTTGGTAAAATAAGTGTTTTTTGTGTAATAGAAAAAGTAAAAAGTAGATTCTACACGAAAACCGAGAAAATAAAAATTAATAATTTTTGATAAAATAAGTGTTTTTTAAAACACTTTTTTAATTGATTGCAAACAAGACCCGTCACTAGTAACTCACTACAGAAGGCCGCGAAAGCAGAGAGAAGCCAGGCTCAAAAAAAAAATCTCACTATATTGCGATTTCCGTCAGTGAGCAACGTCTCTGCTATTGCGATCTCTGGTCCTACGTCCAACATCTCACTAGTCGCTCATCATTCATCTCTGTTCTCTATATTCTAAACGAGGTATTTGATTTTAAAATTGAATTTTGTTGTAATTAATTAATTCAGTTCGCCATGTTGGGCATCAGCTTAAAGAAAAACTCCTTAAATCTTAACCTTGCAAGCAGTCCTTTTTATGTGATGTGTGTTTATATCTGAATATTTTCTTTGTCAATCTTTAAATTTGTGTTTCTTCTTTTTGTTTGTAATCTATAAATAATACAAGGCAATTCGTAAAATCGCGTTATTAAGATCTCCTAAAATATCAGCTCAATAAACCCCATTTGCTGCGAATCCCTGCGATTAACAGGAAAATCATCCGATTCTCATCTCAGACCTCATAAGCTCATTAGTTTTCTTCTCCGAATTTGAATACCGAAGAAGGAAATTTCCCAGCACAGGTTCACATGTTATTACCCAGTTTATCTCCATTAAAGCCATTTTTTATGGTTTTATCTTCTCAACGTGTTTCCAAGAGAATCTTTCAAGGGCTAACACAGTTGGGGTATACATGTAGTTCTAAGGGTAAAGCAGAGCTATGAAATAAACTGGTCTGCGTGATCTCTTTTGATTACTCCATTACCACTATGTTGTCTAATTGTGGCATCCGTATTTAACTTGAATTTCAGGGGGTTGTATAATACACGAGCTTGAGAGTAGGAGTAGATTTATAAAACTTTTATGGTAGAAACAGTGGCGAGGTTATTAAAACGGATGCTGGAGTTTAAACACACTATTTTTGAACTATGATCAGAATTTCCTTTCCCAAGAGGCTCCAATGATAAATCATTTGGAGGCTATCTCTTCATCTTCTAACCTGTGGCTTCAAATGAAACCTTTCTCTAGAACATTTTATCCACCTGAGATGATGAAAACATATAAAAAGAAGTCAAGGACCCTCTAATGGCATACAATTTTTTTTTTATAGAAAAATGTTATCAATTAGAGATATCTTCAATTCATGACAATGGTGTACGGTGAACTGCATTCAAAAGGATTTAAAGAGTCTGTTACATTATGCTTTCACTTTCATTTAACAATTCATTAAGTAATATTGTATTTAACTATTCATTAAAATATTTACTTTGACAATGTAAGATTTAAGAGTTAGTTCAAATTTTTGACTGGTAGTGTTTAAAGAAATTGCAGTTTTATTTCATTGACTAATAAAACGGAAAGCAAAAATTTCAAAGGAGGATTTTAAACCAAGTACATGTGCAACAAAGCTACCCCATGATAAAGATGATAAGTAGGAGTAGGTTTCTAAAACTGTTATGGTAGAAACAGTGGTGAAGTCATTAAAACGGCTGCAGGAGTTTAAAGAAACTATTTTGAGGGGCCAAAGCTTAACCTAATAATTTAACTAAAATTGAAATTTGGGTGGGGGCATAGGTTAGCCCCCTTAGCTACACCCCAGTTATATACTACATACTTCTTTCCGAATAAGTTCCTTTTATAAAATTGGTTTACGTAATAAGACATTGTACTTTTCTTAAGCTTTTATGTTACCAATGGAGCATGCTCAAGTTTGCCTTTTCTTTTGAGTTTTATCCCTAGACGAAACTAACAGATGATAAAAATAAGGGAAGGTTGAAGCTATAACATACCTTATACACATATATTAGAGTGCCATAGTAGAGGATATTGTGAAGTTATGTTTCATGTGTTCGTTTTTTTGTCTCTAATGATTTTAATTATTAAGTTTTTTGTGGGTTGTTTTTCTTATATAAAAAAATATAGAATTGGTTCTAACTTACAAATTTTCATTTCACTTAATGAGTCATCATTTGGTATGTTGATTTTTCTCATCATTTGCTTGGTTTATTGATCGTATAAAAATCTATATGTTTTTTTACAAATTTTCAAATATATATATATATATGTGTGTGTGTGTGTGTGTGTATTTATCAATCTTGTCATCAAGTAGTTGAGAAGTGGGCCTATCACATATACAATTTTACTTATTTACACAGACTCGTGTTTCAGTTAAATATCAATCTTTTGCTGTTTGTCTCTCTTATAGTGCTACTGGTCATCAAGTCCCCAAAAGAGTTAATCTGATTTTGTTTCATAAACTTTCAATCGGAAAACCAACTCTTTCAGGTTCAGTTGGGCCGCAGCAGAACATGTTGGTAAGTTTTAATGAATTAATTTTCCTTCATATCTTTGTTTATTCTTAAACATCAGAAAACATTAAACTTTTTGATGCATTCAGGAACCGGGAGAGCGAGAGAATATTGAACCTGTAAAAATGGATGCAACAATTACTACTCTGGAACCCGACTGTGGCGGTGGTGGCGGTCTCTGTATTCCTGGGAAGGATCGAGTTGTTTTTAGACAACCGGAGCGCAAATCACTCCTTGGTTTGTCTTTTTGTTCTCTCTTTGCTGTTTATTTTTGTAAAACTGTTTTCTCAAGGAAAGAAGCGTATTCATTTATGTGCGTATGTAGTTTTGGAATTCGGATTGAATGGGAAGGATGTTGCTGAAGGAAAGGAGAAGAATATAAGATTATGAAAGAGATTATGAGAAGGATTAAACTGTTTTAGATCTGACTAGTTTTAAATGGTTATGAATTTATGAATTTCTCCCCATATTTACAAAGAAAACTTGTAAAATTTTCTATATTGATGATTAATACTCTTTTCTTATTGTATTTGTAATTGAAAATTTAGTACTGCGTATTTTTTAGTCTTTGTAGGATTTTGCACTTTCGTATCTTCCATTGACCACCGATTTGGGGATGTATCATGACAATATTAGGGAGAGGGCTAGAGCCATCCATGCACTAACTTCCCCTTTATTTTGAAATAGAAAATTTGGTCTCGCCAGTACTACCTCTATCCCCCATTCCCTCTGTCAGAAGCATATATTAAAAAGTTTAACTCAATATTGAACTTACTTTATCTTGTGCCTAAAGATGTCATAGGATCAATTGAAAATTTAAAAGTGCTTTTTTAATGGTAGAAGCAGTTTGGTACTTTGGTTACATACTTATATCAGTGTTGTCAGTTAGGGAAAATAATTGCACCTGACAATACCAAATTTTGATATTCGCTATTGTTACAAGTTTTTGCCTTGTGGTCCTCAAATATGCACATATCCCTCCGAGGCGCCAATTAATTCAGGTTTAGTACATGCAATCTTGGCAGCATGAAGTTTTCTCAGATGCACATCTTATTTAGTATGTTACATTGTTGGGGTCAATGTTATTGCGAAGGTACCTATATATCACACCATTATTTTGTATTCAGAGCTAATTGAATATTTACATGGCATCCAGGGCTGGATGTGCTGGCATGTGCAAAAAGAGAAAGATCTACAATTGATCAATCATTTAAAGTCCCAAGAGAAAAAGCAGCTTCTGTTGTGTCAGCTATAGATGAATACGAAGAGACTTCAACTGTGACTGGAGAATTGGAAGGTGGTTCATCGGGTGGTTTGTGCAGTCACACAAGTAGGCGTTATCGTGATAATGTTTCTAGTGAGCATTCTGTTTCAGGTACCTAATTGAAAATACAATTTACTGGGTGTTTTTCATTATGATGTTTTTCAAATACCTTTTGTTTCAACGGATTTCAAACAATGAAAAAGCGATGACATTGTGTTCTTACTAATTGGGTTGAGAAAAGGAGAAAAGAGTATGATGTGACAAAAACGTCTTCCCTTAAAAGAAACAACAATTTATGAGGAAAAGCCTTGCTTTGGAGATGCTACTTATAAGTTACTCGGTTACTCCATAGATGTTACACACTTACACTCTTTGATAATGCTATGTCTAGGCCCTCAAATTCTTTCTCAATGTGTGAACTTCATTGACATGCAAGTATTTGAACTTCATCATAGATTTTAACTCATTGTGGGTGAGGGTGTGTTTCTTTTCAGGTTCTGTTGTTACTGAAGGACGAGAGACAGAAACGCTCTCAAGGCCTCACCTTGATGAACACCATCAGGTATCATGTGAAGTTTTGATGTTGTTTTGTTGTGAATGGAGTTTCAATATCTTAATGGAAAAAACACAATGCAGCTGTGGTAAAAATTTGGTACATATATCTGCTAAGTCTAAATCTTATATCCTAATATTTGTTATCATTACCTTTCATTTTGATGGTGGTGCTGTAGAGGGATGTCAGCTTTGTGTAGTTTTTTTGGGTTGGGGTGGGGGGGTGGATGGGGAAATTAATCACCAATGGTTTGATCATTTTTTTCTCCAAAATTTTAACCTAAGGTTCAAGACCACATGTCAAAATTTTCATTGTAAATGTCTTTATGAATGATGAATCCCGAAGAGGGGAGATTTACCTTAATAGGAGCAAAACATGGCTTTTTTCCCAAAATAGGTCCAATTAATTTAAACATTCTTATACAGGACTTTTTTTTATGTATGATTGGACCAAAATACCCCCACTGTTGCCCCCTGGACTGCTGCCTGCCGCCTGCCGCAGACCACCTGCAGCCACTGCTGGACCGCCGCCGCCGGAATCCACGGCTGCCGCCGAGCTGTTGCCACCACTGGACTGCCCCCTCTACCAACGGACTGCCTTGGTTGTGCAAGAGAACGGGGGGGGGGGGCAATTAATTGGGATAATTAATTGCCGGAGTTCGCCACTGCCGTCGGAATCCGCCGCTGACCGCTGCCGCAGTGCTGCCGCCACCACAGACTGCCCCGCCACCGTCGGACTGCCTTGGTTGTGCAAGGAAACTAGGGAGGAGCAATTATTTAGATCAATTAATTAATTAAATAGAATTAGGGGTAAAAAAGGTAAGATTAGTCTTATTTAGGGAAAACCAAACATTAAGTCCTATTTTGAGAAAAAACCTATGTTTTTGTCTTAGTCATGGCAATTTTTCTCGCCTAAGAGAGTAAGAGTACATCTCACAATTTCTGCACACCTGATTTTCTTTTTAGTTTTTCAGTTTTGATCTTATTTCTAATGTTTATTTGAAGGTTTCAAAATCATCTACGGGAAGATCAAGGACAAGTTCTTGGTATGATTCTGAACACGAAAGGGAAAGCAAATACCATGATGCTTATAGGAGAAAAAGTAGAGACACTCGGAGAGACAGCGATCATGGTGAGGAGTATCGGCACAGGGAATCATCACGTAATTTTCGAAATGAGTACAATGATGACAGCAGGAGAAAAAGAACTAGACATGAAAGCCCCAGGAATACACATGGTGGGTAAGGGGATACTAAATAATCGTTTATTATTATTAAAAATAACTAAATGAGTATTTGCAGTTCAAACTAGATATGTACTTAATTATGACAGAACCCAAGAACTCTTATGTTCTCATCATCATCGTTTGTTATGGTTGGTAATGGTTGGGCATATAGCAGATCTTCAATAATGCCCAAAAGGTATCCTATAGGCTATCTTTTGGGGATTTCTTTCCCTCACTTCTGCAATATCTTGATATGCCCTTTCAAGATCTTGAAGTTTATGCCATATTGTACCACATTTGCAGTCCCTTGATGCTGTAGCCAACTACCTTTGCATTCTTATTCTTACTGTGTAGTCACTGGAAGTATTGCAGGAAGATCTAGCTGGGATGATGGCAAATGTGAGTGGGATGATACACCTCGCCGGGATAGTTCCTCTTATAGTAGCAGGCGGCGCCACGATCCTTCACCATCACCTATGTTTATTGGAGCCTCACCGGATGCACGATTGGTTTCCCCATGGCTGGGAAGCCATACACCTCGTTCTGGTAAAGCATTATCCCATGGGTTGTGTTCTGTATCATGGCTAGACTCTATATAATGAAGCTATTTATATGACTTAACCAGCAACCTTTGTATATCTACAGGAGCTGCTTCTCCTTGGGACAGCGTAGCTCCATCGCCAACTCCTGTACGAGCATCAGGCTCTTCTGTAAGGACGTTAGGATCTCGATATGGTGGGAAATCCAATCGGGGTTGTGTATCTACTAACACTGCTGTGTTGTCTGAGGTATGTCTTTGTAAACTGTTAAATTATTCATCTTAGCAGACCTATCTCTGCTGTAGGCTTTGAATACTTAGCAGACCTAAGGTTGGCTTTCTGCACACATATGGACCCCATGGTTAAATTACAGCTCCTTATGTAATCTGGTTTAATCAATTTGGGCTCTGTTTCACCATGTTTAGGTCTGGTCTATTTAGATCTGGTTTGAACTGATTTGGCATTATTAACTGGTGGTCTGGTTTGGTATTATGTGAAGTTCTTATATATATATATATATATATATATATATATATATATATTAATGATGTAATATATTATTCATATCATATTTATTAAATACCAATTTGGCAACCTTCTTTTAACCATGGGTAGGATACACTTTCCTTTTGGGTTGTTCCAAACATATGCACGACTTCCTAAAATCAAATCTACTAACTTTTTATTTCCCTCCTATCTGTTTATCTATCATTTCACCTTATAATTTTTGTGGAGCCATCTTACTTTTATTTTTGAGAGTTTAGAATTGTAAAACAACCACTTCATCCTTTATGTTCTTCAAACTCGCCCCAAACCCAAATGTATCTTACATTGTTAAGTATATATAAATATTAAATACTAATGATAATCTTATAATTTGTTAGACCAAACTAGGTAAACAAACTGAAAATAATCTTATAAATATTAAATACTAATTTCAGAAGTGTTTTTTTTTTTGTATTTTAATAATTATGTAAGTAATACTTCCAGTTAATGTAGGATGCAATTGGGTTTGGTGTGGATATTACATTATAAAATGAAGATGACATAGTACTTCCTGTTAACATGTTACAGAATGCCTCGTGCTGGTAGAATATAAAAAATGAAGATTTGTCATTGTATATGTGATTACGGATGAATAATTTGTATATTCTTCTCCTTGTTTCCCCCAGGAAGGAGATGACAAAGTAAGCAGGTCAGAAGACAGCAATCAAGAGATCTCTGAAAGTATGCGTATGGAGATGGACAACAATTCTGATCGCGCATGGTATTAGTTTATCACCAAAACTAGCTTCTATATACAAGAAACTAAATTAGTGCTATATGTTCATCTCTTGGTCTTCTTAATATTATTGATTTCATTTTAACAGGTATGATAGAGAAGAAGGGAGCAGCGTGTTTGACATGGATAGGTCATCACTGTTTTTAGGTGATGCAGCATCTTTTCAAAAGAAAGAGGCTGAGCTGGCTAAAAGACTTGTAAGTGTTATTTGGCATTATTAATCATATATTCATACAAAGGCGCATAATATTCTCAGTCTTGGCTGCTGATTATTCTATCAGTGTAATTGCATATTCCCAGATATATTTGTGTCGCTGCTATTTTTCAGTCTACTTTTTGCATTAGGATATGTATTTGGGATGTACTTTTGACGTTTATATCTTTTGAATCTCACGGGGCCTTGCTTAGAAAGTTAGACGTTATTGTGTAGGATTAGGGTTGTAAATGTGATTGGGTATTCAAATTCGAAAATATGAATTCAAATAAAATACATATGGATTCAAATATTGTTTTTTGATTCTATCTATCTATCTATATGTCTATCTGTCTTTCTGTCTATCTGTCTATCCGTCTATCTGGTACTTGTGTTAATAACTATAACACAATGTAATAATATTAGTGGCATAGTAGTAATGCATTGAGGTTAGTAGATATTTTGCATTTTTAATCTGATGGTATTTACTTAGTCACCAATTTATAAGTAGCTTATTTAGACATTATATTTCTCTGTTGACTTATATAAATTATTTTTAATTTCAGAGAATTGGCTTGTGGGTACATTGTTGATTTGTATTAAATATATGCTGGGAAAATGGGGCAAAAAGGACAAACTATACATTATAATTTGGAAAGTTTGATATTTAATTCTTTTTAAATTCAAAGTCTCCAATAGTCGAATAGAAACCAAATATATTTGAATATAATAAACGAAGCAAATACGAATAGAAAATAAGATTCGATTCGAATAGAAAATATATTTGTATATATTATTCGATTATATATACAAAAACGAATAATAATATCAAGTATTCGCTTACATTAGGTTCTTTACAACCCTATGTAGGATACACTTTATTTTTTTTTTTTTAGATCTTTTTGAAATAGTGAAATCTAGTTGGTTTTTATTTCTAAGTTACCAAACTTTTATGGCAAACCACCCGTGTGGTTCAACTTATCCTTTTGAAGTGATTTTAATTATGTGATTTGGTTAACTGTCTAGCTGATCATGCTGATTTTAAATTAAAGATTGATTATCGCTGTTGTCGGTATTGCCAGCTCTGTTGTTAACTTCTTTCACTCAATTGGACTCCTAAACAGACTCGGAAGGATGGCACAAAGATGTCACTTTCTCAGAGCAAGAAGCTATCACAGCTAACTGCAGACAATGCGCAGTGGGAAGACCGTCAGCTTCTGAGATCAGGAGCTGTTAAAGGCACTGAGGTGCAAACAGAATTTGATGATGAGGATGAAAGGAAGGTTATCCTCCTAGTCCATGGTATGCATCCCTCACACCCCTTGAGTAAACAGGGCAGCTCACTGAACATTGGCATCTCCGCCGCAAGGTGAGGGTCCGGGGAAGGGTTCCACCACAAAGGTGTATATGGGGCAAGCCTTTCCTCGTCACTTTGACAAGAGGCCACCCCCAAGATTTGAACCCGTGACCTCTCGGTTGCATAGCAACACCGTAGCCAGTGCGTCAAGGCTCCCGTTCACACCCTTTGAGTATCCATTATAAAAAACTCAATAGTTTCTGGAAAGATAATTAACTTGTCGTATTTCTTATGCGTTGTTTCTAATCCGTGCCCCAGATACAAAACCCCCCTTTCTGGATGGAAGAATTGTCTTCACAAAACAAGCTGAACCAGTAATGCCAATCAAGGACCCTACATCAGATTTGGCCATAATATCCAGGAAAGGCTCAGCTCTTGTTCGTGAAATACACGAAAAACAAAGTATGCATAAATCTCGTCAACGGTTTTGGGAACTTGCTGGATCAAAACTTGGTGATATCTTAGGGGTTGAAAAAACAGCTGAACAGGTATATTGTGATTTGTGAAACATTTAACACTTCCATGAGTTCCATCTAACTTGTTCCTCAGAAAACTGAGGGCCAGAGTCCTGTACCTGAAATCTTGTTTGAATATTATGCTAGATTGATGCAGATACTGCTGCAGTGGGTGAACAAGGTGAGGTTGATTTCAAGGAAGAAGCTAGGTTTTCACAGCACCTAAAGAAAGGGGAAGCAGTGAGTGACTTTGCGAAGTCCAAAACACTCTTGCAGCAGAGGCAGTATTTGCCCATATTTTCTGTTCGGGACGAGTTTATGCAGGTTTCACTACTTTCTTTTGAATTTTGATTTTCATCTATATTAGTTTATCTTCTTTCTAAGCAGTTTTCGATTGTTATATGGCTGTTCATCCCTAATATAGTGCTTCTGTAGATAATTGGGTCCAAGAAATCCTTGTCTTTTTGCATGCACGTAACCGAATAAACAAATGGACATTTAATTAAGTCATCAGTTGGAAGGTCATGCATTCACCCAGAAAATGTAAAGGGTTCTCAATTTTAGATGTTTTTCTTTAAGTGAGTTATAAGCTAAATGTGATCTCTATTTGAACCGACATAAATTTGGAGGATGATGATTTTTTCTCACTTCCATCTAATCACCTTCAAATCAGATTATAGTTGAAAGTCTCAGTTTTAAAAGACTTGAGCCAATCAGCCAAAGCAATGGGATCAGACACATGAACCAGTAGAAATACTGTCATCGTCGTCATCATCATCATAACCCCAGTGCCGCACAGGCTCCCACCTACGGTGGGGTAAGGAGGTCGGATGTACGCAGTCTTACCCTTGTACTAAAGCACAGAGTTACTATTTCTGGATGACCCGTAGTTAAAATTGCTTCGAAAATTGTGTGGACTGACCGTTGCTTCATAACAAAGAAGTACATACAGTTTAGTGAGTCATTTTGCTTTATTCCACCAATATAAAACCTGTCAAGGTAAAAAAAACTGTCAAGGTCATCCACCAGAGTTTTCTTCCCATGTCTTTCTGCCATGCACCACAGGCTCATAAAGCCCCAACATATAAGTGCCCATTTTGCCACTTTCCCCGATTTATTATCTAACGGCACCTTTATTTTTCCCTTGGACATCTTCCCATGTTTCACTTTGGTGTTTGACTGTGAGGATGTTATACTTCTGTTTACATTAAGACTCTGCATTAATCATATGCATTCAGAGGCATAACTAAAGCGGCCATATAAGTTGCAGTTCTCTGCCACATAAGCTCCAAACCATAATCATATCAACTTACCCTTTATTATGATTAGGTTGTTCGAGAAAATCAGATTGTGGTAGTTGTCGGAGAAACTGGTTCAGGGAAGACTACACAATTGACCCAGGTTGGCAAAATATCTTGATGTATTCTGTGAACAATTGTAGAATTCTCTCTTTTACTTGATATTCTGTATATTTTAAACAGTGCTGCAAAATTTGCAAGGCTGGGGCTTACTTAGTGCTTAGTCAGGAATTAACAGGAGTCAGACAGGGTATAAATAAATTTGGCATGGCCTAGCCAGAAATAAACACCTTGACCCCAGGGAGCAGTTATCGCCTAGGCGAGGCATTAATTGGGGCCATGTGGGATTTTTACAGCAGTTGCTTGAGATATCAAATTTTGGCATATTTTCTTCTTGTTCCGTATGTGACGACTGATGAATGTTTGCAGTACCTACATGAAGATGGCTACACAAAGAATGGGATAGTTGGTTGCACCCAACCTAGGCGTGTAGCAGCTATGAGTGTCGCAAAGAGAGTTAGTGAAGAAATGGAAACTGCGCTTGGGGATAAAGTAGGATATGCCATTCGTTTTGAAGATGTGACTGGGCCAAACACTGTTATCAAGGTAAATTGTTACACGTACATAATTATGGTTTCTCAGCTGATAGTATGTTTTCAACTTGCTTTGACAGGCAATTTGTTTCTCTTTTTAAGTTCCATGATTTTGTTGTATGTGCTCAATTTGTTTCTTGTCCATCCGAGCAGTACATGACAGATGGTGTGCTTCTACGGGAGACGCTAAAGGATTCTGATCTTGAAAAGTACAGGTATAAATTAAAATGTTTTTGCTTTAATTCTATTTTCTTTTCAAAATGTACTTTATGGTACCTGGAGCATTGTGTTTTTTATTATTATTTACATTTGTCTGATCCTACCAGTGTCGTTGTGATGGACGAAGCACATGAGAGATCATTAAACACTGATGTGCTGTTTGGCATACTTAAAAAAGTTGTTTCTCGGCGTCGTGATTTTAAGCTTATTGTGACGTCTGCCACGCTGAATTCACGGAAATTTTCCGACTTTTTTGGAAGGTAAGTCCATTAAGTATATAAGTCTGGCGGGTCGTTATTCTTTTAGTTGATGTGTTGTCATAGATACTCAACGTTGGATGATTTTATGGATATGTTGCAGTGTACCAATTTTCAACATTCCGGGTAGAACATTCCCCGTTCAACACATGTACAGCAAAACTCCTTGTGAAGATTATGTAGAGGCTGCAGTAAAGCAGGCTATGACCATTCACATAACTAGCGCTCCGGGTGATATACTCATATTCATGACTGGTCAAGATGAGATTGAAGCTACATGTTATGCACTCCAAGAGCGAATGGAACAGTTAGTGACCTCAACTAAACAAGCTGTAGCCAATCTACTCATCCTTCCCATCTACTCCCAACTACCTGCTGATTTGCAGGCTAAGATATTTCAGAAGGCCGGGGAAGGAGAACGCAAATGCATTGTCGCCACAAACATTGCCGAAACATCATTAACCGTTGATGGAATTTTCTATGTGATTGATACCGGCTACTCCAAGATGAAGGTGTACAATCCGCGCATGGGTATGGATGCCCTTCAAGTGTTTCCAGTCAGTCAAGCAGCGGCAAACCAGCGAGCAGGGCGGGCTGGTAGAACCGGGCCTGGAACTTGCTACCGACTCTATACCGAGAGTGCATACTTGAACGAGATGCTTCCAAGCCCTGTACCAGAAATCCAAAGGACAAACCTTGGAAATGTCGTATTACTGCTAAAGTCTCTCAAGATCTCAAATTTGTTAGATTTTGATTTTATGGATCCACCGCCTCAGGAAAACATCCTCAACTCCATGTACCAGCTGTGGGTATTGGGCGCGCTTAGTAACGTCGGTGACCTAACTGGTCTTGGCTGGAAAATGGTGGAGTTCCCGTTGGACCCGCCTCTTGCTAAGATGCTTCTGATGGGAGAACAACTGGAGTGCTTGAACGAAGTCCTCACCATTGTGGCAATGCTTTCAGTACCATCGGTTTTTTTCAGACCCAAGGATCGGGCAGAAGAGAGTGATGCTGCCCGGGAGAAGTTCTTTGTACCAGAATCAGATCATCTCACACTGCTAAATGTGTACCAGCAATGGAAGGCAAATCAGTACAGGGGCGATTGGTGTAACGATCATTTCTTACATGTCAAAGGTCTGCGTAAGGCAAGGGAGGTGAGATCTCAACTGCTGGATATCCTCACGACGCTCAAAATCTCCCTCACCTCATGTGGCCCGGACTGGGATATTGTGAGAAAGGCAATCTGCTCTGCATATTTTCACAATGCAGCTAGACTTAAGGGTGTGGGTGAATATGTAAATTGTAGGAATGGAATGCCATGTCACCTGCATCCCACCAGTGCACTTTATGGGTTGGGTTACACGCCAGATTATGTTGTGTATCATGAGTTGATATTGACGACAAAGGAGTATATGCAGTGTGTTACGTCAGTTGAACCGCAGTGGTTAGCTGAGATGGGCCCCATGTTTTTCTCTGTTAAGGACTCGGATACTTCCATGTTAGAACACAAAAAGAAACAAAAGGAAGAGAAAACAGCCATGGAGGAAGAACTAGAAAATCTGAGGAATGTGCAAGTGGAGAATGAGAGAAGAAAGAAAGAAAAAGAGAGGGAAAAGAGGGCGATGCAACAACAACAAATTTCAATGCCTGGCTTGAAGAAAGGCACTTACCTCAGACCAAAGAAACTTGGTCTTTAAAAGCTGTACCATTTTTGATGTAGTATTAATAGAGTAGTAGATATATTACACCTACACTATTCACTATTCTTCCTATAAACTAACTTCAGCAAGGCTTGTGTAAGGTATCTCATCCGGCAAGATGGGCCGATGGCCTGATGCGCTTGTTTAAAAGAAGGAAAATTGACAAGATTAATCCCTACATTCTCCAATTAATCAAAAATAATCCCTACTTCAACTTTTTACATGAATAATCTGAACTTGTCATCCATCCGCCAGAATTAGAATAAATGAGACAGACTTGTATTTCCGTCCAAACTAGAGTTACGTGAATATAGCTGGAGCAGATCTAATTTTTCTTCATCCTCCTTGTATTGGGTAAAGTGAAGTGCGACCATGGAAAGTAAACTACACAATTATCTTTAACAATTCATTTGAATGTCTTCCCGATTGAAGTTTTAGCTGAAATTTGGTATGAGTAAACTAGACCTAATGAGTAAGATGCTAAAAAAAATTCGTCAAAAAATTTCACTGTGAACCGTCCCAAATGGCGACGGCTAGACAGAGCCTCCTATATAAGGATTTATTTGACTCTTTTTATGCAAGTAACCCTTTACTCTTCTTGTATTTCATCTCGATCTCTAAACCCTGAATTTCCTAGTTAGCACATGGCCTCCCAATTGTGATGGAATCAGTTTAAACACAAACATCCAAACAAAAAGTGAAGTGCGACCATGGAGAAACAAGTGAAAGAGATTAATGATTGCCCATATGGAAAGTAAAACAAATACTATGTAACATTTATGTAGTTATGAAACGACATAACCTAGTTACTTTTCGAATTTTAGAAATAAAACCTGTAAAAACTTGATTTTTAGTTGAATTGTTTGAATTTTTTGTTTTGATTTTGCCGAGTGAAAAGTGTATTTTTTTCTTATGGGAACATGTCGAATTGAGTTGTTGTAGAAAACTGTATGTCTGCTTCGATTTATGCTCTACGTTAATTGTGAAAGGGAATGAAAATCTTAAAAGCGACTTGGAGAAAATTTAGGCTGCGAAGAAATTAAATTGTTGTTGGAGAAAACCATATGTGAGCTTCGATTTATGCCTCTTTTATGCCATTTGAGGGTGAGTAATTGGGTCGTGTTCGATTTCTGGGGTAGGCTGCAGGAAGATAAAAAAAGAGAAATACAGAGAAGAAAGCTGGTCTAAACGGTGTTAGACTAGAAACGGTGTTAGACTCGAAGGAACCTTCTTCTTATTTATTTTATTTGTGTGGACATCATGGGATGTTTGGATTATTCATGTAATAGGTTGAAGTAAGGATTATTTTTGTTTAATTGGTCAAAATAGGGATTAATCTTGTCAATTTCGCCTTAAAAGAACAACGTCGCTACCTCTGCTTATCATTACTCAATTATGAATTTATGATGGATGCAGTGTTGTTGAGGCTTCCCTGAAAAAGAAGATTTAACTGATAAACTTTTGCAAATCTTGATAAAGTTAACGCGCATACATCATAAATGCATTCGCTTCTGTTTTTACAAATACTTTTGAAAACCTTAACTAATATAGGGGAAATAATGAGTTTTTTTCCCAAAATAATGCTAAATAAAAATTATTTACGAAATTAGGGTCGGGATAAAACTATTTACCAAATACTGGATGAATAAAGCATGAATGATCAGTGGCTTGTGACTTGTGATGATAGGTTGGTGCAATTTATTTTATGTAATTATTATATTTGAATTATTTTTTGGCTTGAGCATATGATGGAATTAAGCAAAAGGACTCACTAAACTGTCTGCGCTTCTTTATTACGAAGCAACAGTCAGTCCATGCAATTTTGGATGTGATTTTCACTATGGATCATCTGGAAACAGTCTCTTTGTGCTTTAGTATAGGGGTATGACTGCATACATCTGACCCCCCTTACAGCCTTTGTGGCACTGGGGTAAAAGAAAATGATGATGATTAGATTTGAATTAGATAAGTAAGTGTAATTAGGCAATTCATGTACTATGCAGTCTTATTTAGAGAATTAAAATACCACTCATATTTAGAGAAAACTCTTATAATTCATTCCTATTTTTAATGTAATTTCTTTGTAACTTATGTAGATGAGAGAAAAATTTGAGCCACACAATTTTCTTAAAATAATGATGTGGGATGGGTACTTAACATTTGTCAGGAATTAACAAGCTCAAGTGAGTTTTTATGAAATGTACAAATGTGTAGTTGCAAATAGAATCACACATACAATTGGTAGAACAATGGGTGGAACATTTACAGAATATGCAGAAACCATTTGCAGTACTATGTTACAGTTTTGCTGCAAAAAGGGGACTAGTGAGAAAAGGATTCATTTAAGAAGAATCTAAATGCAGACGACTTTAACCAAACTAATGCAATAGATATGGCTATTTGGTTGTAGGCAGCACAAGCTAGAAACCTATAGACTCTTGGTGTATGAAACTTTAAGCGGTTAAGTAGTTTAGCAGATGTTCGGTTTCTTTCTTGCTTTTCAACTTACGGAATGCACGTGACTCAATTTGACGGATTCTCTCCCGACTTACGTTCATCAACTCCCCAATCTCTTGCAAAGGCTTCATCCTTCCATCCTCTAGTCCAAAACGCCATCTAAGGACTTGCTTTTCCCTTGGATTTAATAAAGTATCCAATACCTTCTCCAGATCTCGTCTCATAAACTGCTTCATCAGTAACTCTTCAGTTGTTTCAGCTTCAGGATCTGCAATCACTTCCTAAGAAAGAAAGAAGGCACATGAACATGAAATTACACTGGAAACTTTAGGGTTATATTTGGATCACAAAAAGGAAAAAACAAAGTAATGGTAAGATATTTTCTTATGCACAGTTTTACCGTGAAAATGCGAAGGAAAACTACGTAACAAATAACAAATAAAAAAAATTTGTTGAGTTTAGACAAATTTTAATGTTCGTACACACATATATATGTATGTATGTACGTAGATACATGCATATGTATATTTAAACAAACTTACATTTCTGTGTCTTTACACCATTCGACAATGTTATTAAGGTTTATTTAAAAATGAATAATCAACATAAACCACACAATTCTTCCTTTGGAAAGTGATGAGAAGAAACTTTTATGGGAAGAACATTCCGGGACCATAGATATAGATTATAATTAGTACCAAATAATAACACTCCATATATTTTGTCCTTGAAAAGCTATGGGGAAAACTTTATTAGTTTATTAGTAGCTTATATTCCATGGGAGGGTTATAATTCAAGTATCAAATAACGATAAACTAATTTGTTGAGTTAACACATATTATCATTTTCTCTGTTAAAAAGACACCTTCCCGTGCAAAGTGCGAACGAATGCACTTTTTGCTCAATGCGATGCACTATTTCATGTTTCTATTGCAATATTTCACGGTGACAAAAACGTTGGTTTATTTACGAAATCGTCACCGCATTTTTTATTACATCTAGTGCATTGTTGACTTGTTTTGAGCCAATAGATCTGAAATTGATTGCACAAGATTTACTCTCATTTTGCATGGGAAGGATTCTTTTGTATTTGAACCCTCCCTGATATATATATAGAGAGAGATCAGATCACATACAAACTAGTCCTCTCATGCTAACCTGCAAAATGCCACAAACTCTACATCTTTACATTATTTGTATTGCATATTGAAGTTCAAAGTGTTGCATATTTATTGCATATCGAAGTTCACAGTATGGATCTTTACATTATTTGTCTTGCATATTGAAGTTCAAAGTGTTGCATATTATTGAGTTTGCACGTTAGTATTTTAAGCATGGTTTATATATAGACCATGCTTAAAATACTAACCTACAAACTCAATAATATGCAACACTTTGAACTTCAATATGTAGTACAAATAATGTAAAGATGCACTCTGTGAACTTCAATATACAATACAAATAATATGCAACACTTGAACTTCAATATGCAATACAATATAATATACAACACTTTGAACGTCAATATGCACAGTTTGTAAAGATGCACAGTTTGTGACAGTTTGTAGGTTAGCATGGGAGAAGTGCAAAACTAGTTTGTATGTGATCTCACCCTATATATATGTGTGTATGTATGTATGTATATGTATATCCTTAATGTTCTCCTTCCTCTTATATTTCTCTAGTACTTTCCTGGATTCAAATAGACCATAAGGATTATGGACATTCATAAAAATCCATGCAAAAAGTCAGGGAGAAAAAGATGGGAGTCAAACCGAAGGTTTGAGATCCAGATTGATTCCCACTTTCTGATCAAGAGATCTTGGAGCTTTAGCAGTTAGCATCACAGCATTGAGCCTCTTCATTGACATCCCTGTTGCCTCTGCCACTTCTTTATCATCAGGGTCTCTACCATTTACTGTGTACAATTGCTTCCTTGCCTCCTTCACTTTATATGCTGCAGCAACCATGTTTATCTGCACATAAAGAATTATGAATTTGTACCCTTATCTTAGCCATTTCTTAAGTGGTCTTGTTCTTTCCTTTTATTACCATCATGTGCACCTAAGGAAGACATTTAAAAGGCCTACGAAATGACTGTTTGTTTACCCCCTGCTTCAGCTACTCGCCAGAAACTAAAAGTTCGGTCACAGTAGAAGAATACTTACTGGCAGTCTAATTGTCCGGGACTGCTCTGATAGACATTTTCTAACTGCTTGCTTAATCCACCAATAAGCATATGTTGAGAACCTGAACCCCTTTGAAGCATCAAACTTCTCTGCACCTTTAACTAGTCCTTGACATCCTTCCTGTGACACAAATTCAAAGAATCTTCACCAAACTTGTTCAACATATTATTTAACAATGACTAATATCCTTTGGGACTTGCAACCTTGTTAAAGCAAATGGTAGCCTAATACCTGAACCAAATCCTGAATACTCAAACCAGCTCCTTGATATTTTTTTGCTATGGATATAACAAGCTTAATGTTGCTGCTGATCATTTTATCTTTGCATTGGATACCATAGTTTAATCGCTTTCTTAGGGTTTTCTGATCAACACCGGCTGCAATAGCCCATTGTGCAAACGTTGGCTGACCACCACACTGCTCTCTAAGCTCCTCCTCCTGTCTCTCTAATTTTAGTAGATCCTGTTCACTTCTTTTATGACGATTCAGATGTCATTTTAAAAAAGTAAAAAGAAATATGCAAGTTATTATGATTATAAGCACGAAAAGAGGGGCATATATAAAGAATACTGC